CGGGCATGGAGTCTTGCTCTGTGTCCTTCAGTTCATCTAGTTTTCCTGGTACACCTTCCCCTGGTCTGCCCCGGCAAGAGAGGATTGTGGTGGGCTTTGTCCGCCCAGAGGATCAAGGATCAAGCTGTTATGATTTACGTGGGGACCTGGGTCTTCTAGCAGTGATTTATTTGATCAGCCTCACTTCTGCCACAGAAGGCACATGGAGCTTCATGGGGGCGCTGAAATGATAAAATCTCATCTGGCCCAAGAATAATATTGGTCACGGCCCTGGGGAGAGAGAGGGCAGGAGGATGGGGACAGCAGAACTTAGCTGAGCTCCAGTCCATCTGCGTGGGGAATCCCTCCTTGATTTGAGCATGCATCTGATGTGCAAAATGACCTCGAGAGCAAAGACCAGCAAGAAATTAGTCTGTTAACTGATTTTTTTTTTTTTTCTGTATTGAGGCCAGATCCTCAAATCATTCTTAATTGGATTATTCATCCTCCAACAAATAACCTTGTTCAAAATTTGCAGATAGCAGGTATATAGAAACTTCCTGAATTTTGGTGATGTTTATTATGTTTCATGGAAAGAGAAGTGTCCTGCAATCCCAAAAACGTGAAATTAGGCAATGAGAGAAGTGTAGTGCCAGGGCTCTCTTTGTCATTAGTATGTGCTCACAGTCATCTTCGGGCTTGGCTGTGCATCCACCCGAGGGCTGACTGGCTCGTGGGAGGAAAGTGGGCTTGGACCTAAGAGCTGGTTGTCGTATCAGTGCTGGCTTCTGTCATGACACGTGTCTGAGAAGTCCTTGAACATCTCTGCTCTGGTTTCTCTGCCTGTAAAACGTGGATGTTTTGGATACTCGCTGCTGTGATCCAAGAAGCTTTGAAGAGTTATTGAGGTCTCTGTGGAGGGCTCTGAGGATCTGCAGGTTGGGGAGGTGTGACTAGTTGTCATGGGGAGAGAGCGAGGCAGGGTGGAAAGGCCCTTTTCTGGGTCCCTGTGGTGATGCTTGCCTTTCCTAGAATCGTCTCCTGTTAGGCTGGTCAGTGGCACTTAGACAGGGAAAAGATACGGTAGAAAAAAGTGGAAGGAAAAAGGAAAGACTTCAAACTTAGAACAGGCTTAGCGCGGACAAAAGTGTCTTCCTCTTCCATCAGATAAAGGAGGAGCTGGTACCTGGTGTGGGTTATTGAGAGTTGTGGTGTGCTGGGGTTATGTGCCTTCCTCAGGAGGGATGGGAACTGGGTGTGGGGTCCCATGGCTCCTCCCAGGTGGCCAGAGTGGTTTTCCGCTGGTCATCCTGTTCCAGATGGCAAGTGAATTGGTAGACCTGTATATCTGAGTGACACCAGCACCTCCCGCTTAGTCTGGCTGGGGCACTGCCTGGTGACAGTGAGCTGGGAGGTTGTGTCCTCCTGGAACAGCTTCTTGTGTGCCAGATTTGAAGATGCAGCCGGGGAATTCAGAGGCCCGAAGAGCACGTGATGGGATTGCATTTGCAGATCCTTCCCCGCTCTCCTGCAGCAAGGGACGGCTCTCGCCACAAAACTCTTGCCACTGGGATAAGGTGGGTGCTCGGAGCATCAGTTCCAACACTCAAGTGTACGGAGTCTTCCCTTTCCGCTCGTTGGGGAAGGGCGGGATGGGAAGGTGTCTCTGGTCACATCCCCTGGTACAGGTGGGACCTAAGGGACAGCCCATGACGGTGCTCTGGGGACTCCACTGCCTTGGAGGAGCCCAGCAGTTGTGCAGCTCCTTACCCATCGATCGGGAACTCAGCTGTGTGACTATTGCGGCGTGTCATGGCACGTGGAGGTGACAGGATTGGGGACATCACAGGGGCCAAGGCGGTATTGGCATGTGCTGCTTTGTGCCTTCCTGATGTCAGGAGTGCAGCAGAATCGTCCCCTTCCGAAAACGAGGTTTCAGGTTAAATCGTGCCAGTCGTGGTGATCTGAATGCATTCCTTGTGGAGCCCTTGGAGCTCAGGGAGTGACTTGCCACATCCGCAGACAGACCTGGGAAAAGAGCTGCTGATCCCGAGTTCAGCCATCCCCTTTCCTCCCGTCGACCCTGTCTCCACGGAGGGCTGGCCCTCAGGTGCTGTTTGCTACTGCAGGCACAGCAGCTTACCCACGAGAGTCTGGTTTCCGTTGTCTTGTTCTCTGTGAGAAGCATCTTAATGGGATGATAAAGACTTCATTTCCAAGTTGCTGTTTGCTCCCCAGTTTTTCACTGTGCTTAGCGACGACCACAGGAGCATCGGTGAAAGCTGTGCTGTGACGCAGCAAGGCTTGCTCAGAGAGAGGGACCGGGGCTGTGCCACTGTCATCCTGAGGTGTTTCATCGTAGTCTTAGGTCCACTCGGAGATGCAGTACTGGATTAAGCAGGCTGTCGGTGTGAGCAATTCTACTCTCATGGTTACATTCATCGACTGGAGGATGGAAACAGGTCCAACTTCTCGGCAGATCCATCAGGACTTCAGACGTGGCTATGAGGCGTGAAGCAAGCTCCGCTCCCCTGGAAGTACCCGATGCCGACCATCCCGGGGCGGGACGGGACGCAGGAGGAGGAAAGCCTCCTGCTTTCGGATCCTCTCAGAATGACAAGCCGAGGGGGCAGAGCCCCTGCTTTGCTCAGCAGGAGCCCTGCACACAGCACCCTCTCAGAAGGAGGGAGTGAAATAATGATTTTTTTTCTTTTTTTTGTTTTTAAATACCTTTTCCAACTCTGCAGAAATTAATGTGTTCCCAATGGCAACGGGACTGAAAGCTGCCTACCACCAGACTTGCAGTGGGAAATGTCCCCCTTGCTTTCAGAATGCATCCAAGCTATCCCGCTGGTATCCCAAGGCTGGTTTTCATTCTGTAGAGTGGCCTTGGTAAGTTTGGTCCAAAAAAGGTCCCCTTCAGAGGTTTAAAATGCTTTGAGTGTTCGTGACAGCCAGGCAGTGCCCTACAGAGCTCTTGCTTAGGGGTGTCAGCCTCCTGCTTCTGCAGCCGTACTCTGGTCTTAGTCTGTGCGCTGGCTGTGGGGATGCATGAGGCGATGGGGGCATTTGGGGCTGCTTATCGTCAGGTCTGGCTGTGATGAGCAGTCCTGGTGGCTCCTCAGCCGCTCTCCTTCCCGAACACTGTGTTTTGAGGAGCGGTAGAAGCCCTATGGTGGTAGTAGAGCTGTCTTCCCCCGATCCTGCAGTGAACCCCACTCATTTTGGGCTGGGAAGGAGGCTAGCAGCAGTTCAAGCAAGCAAAGTCATTACTTCTGGTTTTTTAAAGGACTTGGGAATGAGCAATTTTTCAGGATCTGTGCATGGGCTCCAGTCCGGTTCACCCTCACCCCATTTTACATCGTAACAACCAGACGACTGCTGGACCACTTGTAATGTGGCATCATGGTGTTTGTAGCTCTGCTGGTGAAGGGTTTAGTCCACAGTGGAGAGTGCTTGAGGCTGATGTGCAGAACAGCAACTTCTCCAACCCCTGATGCTGTCAGTCGACTCCCACTTAGGTTCGTGGGATCCCTCTCCATCCTTTCAAGCTGCCCAGGAACCCTGGGCTCTGTCCACGTGCTTGGAGAGTTTTGACAAAGGGGTGTTGATCCTTCGGCTTGTTGGAGCTGCTCAGTGGCGACCGTTGCTGTCCTCTCCTAGCAAATGGATGATGGGAGGCATCATCGTGGTTGAAGAGGACTTCTAGACGTGCCCTGTCAGCACAATGGGGAGACTGTTTGGTATGTCCTGATCTCATCACCACTGACAAGATACGAGGACACCAGCCTTGAGGACTTGGGCCATCGACCTGATGCCTTGTATGATGGTTTCTTTGTCCCAGCCTCACCGGTCATCTCTGTCCTGGAGCAGGGTTGAAAGCCACCTGCTCTGCTTTCAAGATGGAAAGAAAGCACAGTCAAGTGGTTACAGCACAAGCTGGACTTGAGAGGTGTCTGTCCCAGCCCAGTGACCGTGGGTGTTACTCTCCCTCCCACAACCCCTCCTACCAACACCCTGAGCTCCCCACTTCTAAAGAGAGACTGCGCTTGCCCATCTTGTTTGAGAACTCCTGTGAGCAAGACGTCCCCCTTCCCCTGCGGTGGTGTTTGGACTCGCAGCAGTTGGGATTATCACCCTTTACAGGGTGGCTGCTGTATCTGATGAGTGCAGAGGCTTTGCAGAGCTCCCGGTTAGATTTTGTGATCTTTTCACCCCGAGGATGGTACGCAGGTCTGCCTGTTCCTTGCAGGAAGGTAGCATCAGGTCACTTCTCTTTCCATCATGCTGAAAAGCAAATGTACTTTGTTTAAGCCCAGAAACAATCTTTTGGGTGAAGAGTGAGGCAAAAATAAATGAAAATGTAATTCCCCCTTAACTGCGTGAGAAGGTGCATTCAAATACGGTCTCCTCGCCCTCCCGTTTGGTTAGTGAAGAGGGGCGAATTCTGTGGTGTCTTCCAGGCAGGTGGAGCCCAGCTCTTGGGCTGAGGCAGTGCAGGAACTGATGCCCAGCAGTGCAGGAGCAACCCCGAAGCATCAGTGCTGACCACAAACACTGATCTGGGGGCTCCTAGGCAGCAAGGTGCCCCTCTGCACAGTGGATGTAGCAGCCTCCGATTACGTTGGACCTGGGTTAAGTTCCCCCAGCTGTCCCAACACCTGGCAGGCAGGAGGTTTGACCCACAGCACTCTCAGTGTGGACTGAGCAGCATAGGCGTGGGTGTGGGGATCTGTTTTGTATCTCAGCCAAACACGTGTCCTGGGGCTCCGTATCTCATCTCTGGGTGGAAACAGTGCCGGAGAGCACTGTGGGCTGCCCTGCCCTGCAGGACGCTGGGTCTCCTCTCTCTCCTCGGAGCAGGCAAGCTTTGAGTAACACAGACACAGAGGATTTAGCTGTGTAGAGCTGACTAAATTTGATCAGTGGGTCCCATCCCCATAAAAACCATAGGGAGAGCCAGCAGCGTCACTCCCCAGCTCGGGAGAGTGTTAACTGTCCAACCTCCTTGTTCTCCTTAGTCCTCACCCAGTGAAACCCATCAGCGCTGCGGTGCAAGAGGTCTCCAGTGAGAAGAAGCAGCAGCAGAGGTCCAGCCTGACGACCGCTCTGAGCAACGGCCTGGAGAAGCTGAAGACAGTCACCACGAGCAGCGTGCAGCCCGTGGCTCCGTCCTCTCAGCCGGAGAAAACAGACTCAAAGAAGTTAAAGGTAGGAACCTACCGCTGAGGTGAGAGCTGCGTTCCCATCTGCTCCAGATGTTCTGTACTTGGTGACAGAGGTGCAGAAAACTGGTGCTGGAGGAGGTAGAATGGGGTCCTGCCACAGTGTGAGCAGAACCACGTGTGTTAACCCTGACATCCTTGGTCCAGGTTGCCCAGCCTCCTGCTGGCCTCCCTTCCTCCGTGACCTGGTCTCTGGCTCTCCTCACCCCATTGTTCTTCTCCCGTTGCTTGCTTTGGTTTGGGGTTTTTATTTTACAGTCTGTGAGCGAATGCCTGGTTATCTACAAGACAAGAAAGGTGCAGGATGTGATAGCTGTCTGATTGAAGTTTCTTTTCTCCTGGCAGAGGCAGAGGGAAAGTGCTTCTTGGAGCCTTGCTCAAATGCTGCTTGCCTGGCTGTATTTCAAATGCTAAGGCAAGGAAAATACCTACTGCCACAGGTAGTTCATGTTGTGGGTTACGAGCATTTCAACTTTTCTGGGACGAGCTCTGTCTGGGTCCTGCTCCCCTGTGCTGCTCCAGCCTGGCTGGCAGGCCCAGCTCTGCTGGGAGACCTCACACCCCCGGGCTCTCGTCCTCTGGGAGCTCCTGAAGAGCTTTTCAGCTCTTAGTTCTCTTCCTCTGCCTTCATCCAGGCCTGCTGCTGGAGGACTGGGGAAGGGGGAAGCCCCGGAAAGGAGAAGTAGGTAATGGCAGGCCTCATTATGCCAGGCTAATGGGCTCCGCTGTGCCCATCCCCTTAGCTTTTAACTGTTGGAGGAGAGAGGTTTGACAGAGTCTTTGGGGAAACCCTGTTAAGCGATCCACTCAGCTGGTAGAAGTGCTCCGTGGTCATCTCTAGCCATATGGAGGATGCTGCATTGGCCTGGATGTCTGGGCGGTTGTTCTGTCTCCAGTATTTTTGGAGGACGGTGTGGCACGTGGGAAAGCTGCTTTGTAAAGGCAGGATGTGATAGCTGCACAAGGTCTTGGGCTCATCAGGTCAGATCTGGAAAGAAGACAGATGTCAAAAAAACTATGGCTTTGGTTGTTGCTGCATCTTGCAAATGCTAAAGGGAGCAGCGGTTTTTCATTTGACTCGCTGAATGTTTCTCTTGGTTTCTACCACAGGACCCCGCCGTACTGGACCAGTCAGCCAAGTATTATCACTTGACCCACGACGAACTCATCCAGCTTCTACTGCAGAGAGAGAAAGAGCTGAGCAAGAAGGAGGAGCACATCCATGAACTGGAGAACTACATTGACCAGCTGCTGGTACGCATCATGGAACAGTCTCCCACGCTCCTCCAGATCCCGCTGGGGGAAAGCAAGACCAAGTAACCTCTCCTCAGAGACCAGCATCACTTGCCTAGAGCACTTCTCCAATAAACACGCTGCAAACATCCCTGCACTCCCCCTTCCTCTTACAAGAGGGCTCCAGTGGCTTCTGTTCGCAGAGTTTAGCAGGAAAGGTTGTCTGCTCCTTCCCAGCCCAAGCTTAGCCCAGCTCTGGCTCCAGGGAACTATAGGGTGATGGGCTGTCATCCACCCTATGGGGAGGAGCAGAGCCCTCCACATGAGGCAGATGCTTCCTTAGGTTCCTGTCGTCGTGGCCGAGTGGCACCTTCTCAGGCGTTTATCCTGCCAATGCTTTAAGTGGTCCGTGGACATTTGAGAGCTGGAAACCAACTGCCTCGCCCATGTCTTT